CCCCCCCCCCCCCCCCCCTCCACCTCGAAATTAATGGACTCGATTCAGTTGTTTTGCTTATTCGCGCAGTTGTTGTTATTTTAGAACTCACTTTGAGGAGGGTATTCTTTACATATTTACATAAGATACGATTAAAAGGCCATTTTTTCATTATGTTTTATATTTATTTATTTATTTATTTTTTTTTTTTTTTTCAGGCTTGTTTAACTTGATAAAGAATGATCACTTGGACTTCCATGCAGTTATGGGCCACGTTATAGCAGCGGCAGATCAAGAACAGTTTGGTAAGTGACCATAACATCCACAAGCCCTTCAGCAGTCGGATTAGTTTTTCATCTCTTTTCGTTCTGTTCTCCTCGACAGATATCTTTCTGGTGTTTGCTCTTGTAGCTCACCGTTTCGAACTTCATAACCAACCTGTCGTCCAGGCAATCATGGAGATTGGACAGATGGTCGCTGATGCAGCCTGTGAGGTGAAGATGGATGGTATGTTAATCACCTTCTCTTTTTGGAATCAAAAACAACCTGAGAAAAGAGGCGCATCTCGTGAGACCCGTCGTACGTTAAGTTCCTTTCTCGCGAGAAACTCGTGAGATTTGTACCACGGTAAGGCTACAATACTTTAATCGATCAACACTCCTTTCATCGCCGTTGTTGAGATGCTTGCACTCCATCAAGACAACCCTCATTCCACCCCCAACTACCTCGAGGTTTAAGTAAGAGCTAGCATTTTTCCATGAAGAACGAAACTAACGAACGAAGTAAATAGTTACTGTGAATCTTACAAAGCACATCACGTTTGTCTCAAGAAAGGTTTCATTTAAAAGTCTGAAATAGAAAGTGAAGCTACATTACAGTTGTTTACTTTGTATATATTTTAATCAGGTCTATTTGGCAAGATTAACGAGATCATTGGCAAAGAAAATGAAGAGGGTGACTTTGATTTTAAGGACAAAATAGCTCCATTCATTTATCAGCAGAAAAGCAAGATATGTCCAGGAGGTAAGTCACAATCCACGTTTGCTAAACAAGCTGTTATTTATTATTATTATTATTACCATTATCATTATCATTATCATTATTAAAATTCAGCATGGCCTTGAGGCTTGGAGGACACAAACAATGGAAGGTAAAAGAAAACAAAAACAAACGAAACAAACAAAAGAAATTTCATTTCTCTTGTTTGTGTCCTCTAGGCCTGACTATCAAGCTGAATTTTAATAGAAAGTGGCCTATTGTCGCACCACTACTTTCTAATTCTTCATTCCATTTCTTTTATTAGATTTGATGAAACTTTTGGAACAACATCAAAAACAAAGCGCCAAGGCAAGGTTGTTGAACATTGTATTCAAAGAATGCAAGGAAGGTATGCATTTAATATAAATATCTTAATTCATCACCAATTTTATGAACAGTTTGATTCCCGGATGTACGGGCGCCGGGCGGAGAGAGAGTTGTGGTACGTTCTATTCCCCCTAAATGTTTTACGCAATTTTAAAAAGAATTGAACGCCAAAATTTCACCAATTAATAATTCCCCTCTTGGAAATACATTTGCTTTAGGCTCTTCACGTTGCCTTGGCTACCGTGTTTTGAAATCTATGTTTATCAAATTGTCTAGAAGTTATTGTCTACGAAACTGTGATATGACATGCAAGTTTATCCAAATGGTCTACATCTCGTTACCTTGGAAACAGTGTTTTGGCATGGGGATTTATCCAAATGGTCTTCATCTCCTTGCCTTAGAATCCGTGTTTTGACACTTTGATGCAGGCTTATCTTGCCAATTGTTTAATGAATCGATCATTTTAAGTCTTATGCCTGAGTACATAAAATAACTGTTTTATTGTCCTTTCTTTATAGTGAGATACATCAGGTTTGCTGCTGGTACAGTGGTAGATGTAAGTATTCAATTCTTGTACTTTCTGTTGTGGGAACTTGAAAAAATACATATTAATAACAAAAATATTAATCACTCCTAACACACACACTGCAAATTGACCCATTCAAAACCTAGAGTAAGGCCAATAAGTTTTCAAAGTACATGTATAATTTTTTAGTGCTGTACAAGAAGTGTTAAATTCCAGGATGATCAAAATATACCATTTCTCCCTTGAAATAACATTAATAGTTTAAAACTCTTACTAACAGCTACAGGTGACAAGAACACCAAGATCTTCAATATCGGTTTTTTGTTTTGTATTTTTGGCTAAGGTGATTCCTAAGTGTTGTACTGCACATCCGTACTGTGCGCGATCCATTAGCGCGCGCAAGTGAAAGTGTGCACGTACACAACGTGATAGATTTCCCTCAAGCTAAGCTAGACAGCGAAATAAATGCTCGTTTTCTCTTAAAAGAATATGGTGACCTATCTTTTTTTTGCATAATTTTGGTGTACAAATTATCCCCTTTAAGTTACACAAAATGGGAAAAAAATTGTTCGGAAGGAAGCGATATGCGAGGATGCAAATTATGACCTCGAAAACAACGTTTCGAGGAACGTTTTTGAGTCATTGTCGTTTAGAATTGTGTGCGATTTTGCCATAAATATACTACATTGTTCCATGCGCCCGATACTTTCTACCAATCGAGAATTTTTCAAGTTTTGCTTTAATAACCTTTGTTTCCAGTTACCGCAAAATGTAGCCCGCACTGATGAAATAACGCGCGTGATTAGGCATGAGTGGAGTAAGATCAGCCCATCATATCTCTTTAGCGACAATGGTAACCTATCTTTTTTTATTGCATTTTTCGAATATTCAGGAAAAGTTTCAAAAAAAATTTTCGGCAACTTTTGTTTCCGGGCAAATATTCAGAAAGCTTAACAAATGATGAAAAGCCCTGACAAGACACATTTGACATTGTTTTCCTCTCTTATCAAGCTCTGTCTTTTGATTGAGCCCCTAAACATACAAGTTGCCAGAATATTGCTACTATTTTGATACAGCGTTTGTTCAGCTACTAGCTCGCCTCCAGAGGAAAGAAGGTAGCATCACACATGACTATGTTGTTGTTGTCAGAAATTGAGCCACATCCAGACTTCGAGGATTGATAACAGCAATTTATTTTTGCAGGGAATCAAGCTGTCCAAAAAAGTGAAGGATACGAAGAAACTGGAAATGGAGCGTCTAAATGGTATGTTCATTACATACAGGTCACAAATTAAAATGCACCTTTCGCTATGAAAGGGAGGCAGAGGAGAAATCTGTCTCTCCTCAACTCAAGAAGGATGAGGAAACTGTTTTTTACCTTTTGAAATTATCGAAACAAAAGGTTCAAATCGTCGTCCAACGAGAACATCTTTAAGGGATCGAATGCGTACATAATGCATGCGATTGTTTTGCAAATGCGAAGTAAGTGTCCATTTAAATTGTTCAAAATGATCATGAGTGCTAAGTTTTACTAACTTTTTTTCGTTTTGTTAGACATGATCGAAGAGGTCTCGGACCTTATGGCAGACAACAAGACTGAAGAGGCACACATAGTTGTGGCTGACTATGTCCTGACTAATCTGAGGAGGGCTATCATAGTCAGTGTCGCTGTTGAGAACCAATTGAATTCATCTCTACCCGAACCTTCTGGTTCTCCCAATTCTTCTGGACCTAATCCTCCGCGGGAAAAAGCTGCAGCTAAAAGGAATGCTGATATCATTGAATATGAATCCATTGATATATTTGAACCGATCCTTGCAGGTCGCGAATAACAGAACCACCATAACAACCAGAACATTTGACTAGCAGCTGCCATCGTGCAAAATTGATTTCATTCTCATTATTACACACAATCCACTTTCACACCGTTTTATTCACTAAAGCCATGGTGATTTGCGGAGACAAATAAGTTTGTAAAAAAAAGTGCACGTTTTTTGGTTGTAAATTATATCCTGTTTGAATTCCAAATAAAATGAATTAAAACAACTGAGGTTTGCTCTATTTTTCCTTGGAATGACAAGCTGTTTAGATATTTCTAAGTTTGTGGGGAGTTAGAAAAATAATCTCTGTGCGTGTGTATTGTACATCACGAATATATCTCCATGAAAACAAGTGAAAAAACTTAAGATCAGAATAAAGATTTCAACCACGTTTAGTTACCTAACTAGAAGCTTAGTCAACACTGATCGACGTGTACATTTGCAATCTTCAAAGGGATTTACCTGTCACCGCAGCTGGAACGGAAATAAATGTAACCGACTAAATCACTGATTGGAATAAATGAAACGAGACTTGTAATGGCCGTAAACGCTTGAACACTCGGTTGTTACATCACTTCAGAAGGAAGTAATTTCCCCTCAGATATACCTCTTGCATAAACACTGAATTATTCGTGTGTCAAACGTGACTTTTTGTTGTTGTCCTCCTTATGTTTAGTTTGTTTTCTTTACCGAGCTTAACCAACAAGATAGAGTTTAAAAAAACACACTGCACAAAACTGAGTTGAAGTGCATGTCCCCTGTTTTCGAAAATTTGAAATGCAAAATTTGTTCCTTGGAAATGAACTGGGGAAAATTTAATGGCCAATTATTCAAGACAGTAGAACTTATATTCCGACTGGTATTCCACTAGTCGGAATACTGGTCATAAAATGTTCCCAATTCTAAGCCAGAACCGCTAGCGATCGAGCATCTCAGCTTGTCTCATTTATACTTTGAATGAGTCCTACAGCAGGCATCTCCTGACCTAGGTATAAGTATGTAATAGGAACAGTAGCCTTAGCCGGGATTTCGCGCGACATGTGACCTTCTGCAATCTTCCTTTTCAGTTACACACACCCCTCTCCCTCTGGGTAGGCACCAGTTCATAATTTACGTTTTTGCTTCTATTTTGAAAGCAGTCCACGTTTTTCTTCGTTGTGCTGTTGTCAATCGAAGCAACCTAAGAAATTAAAGTGCTTTAATGTCGCTGTGGTGACGTAATTCAGTAAAAATCATAACTTGGTCACAAACCTGATAACTGGATAAACTTAATACTGAAAAACAAAATGTCGTAGTATGTACACAGTTTCAAGCAGGGGAAGACGAAAGAAACTTTATTTTCTTCTATTACAGCTTGCCTCTCAATTTTTTCCGCTTTGCAGTGCTTTTGCATTTAAGAAAAACTCATTCATTTTCACGCAAGGTTGAGACAATGCTTTTCATCAAGAGCCAGTGTTAAAGACTTAGTTTTAAATAGCATCTATGGCAAAAGAAAGTGTTTACATATGAAAAGAATTCAACTCCCACCGGATTGGATTGCCGCCGTGACGTCATGTGAAAACACTCCAAAAAGAAGGAAAGCTCTCTGACCAGTTTTTTTGTCTTCTTAGGGAAAATAACTTCAAAAGCAAAGTGTAGATGAATTACAACTTCACATCATTACATCATGTTTCGCTAACATTTGCGCTAAAACTTTTAAATTGAACTATTTTTGTCAACCCTCATTAATGCAGCTAGACAAAGTGAAGTTTTTTCCGCTTTGCAAATAAAAGAAAAGAATATTTTTTACGCATGAGTCAATGTTTGTAAACAGCAGTCGCTTGACTTAACTATAAATCGAAACGTAAATTCTCCTTCTATTTCACCTTACGCTGCTTTTGAAAACAGTCTTGAGAATCCATCGGTACATCAAGACATTGATCAGATGACTGATGATTTCCTGTGTTCTCATCATATGTCTGCTTAGCATTATATTGACATAGTGTGGAGATATTACATGCTGATAACTTCTGGGAATTAAATTAAACTCGGGCAAATCACATGCAAAAGTCTGCTAAGGGCTTTTGGACAGGCAGACCGGCGATCTGACAAAGAAGCGCGCTCGATACAGTTTGAACTCGTTTGGGGCAGCAAAAGAAAATGAAGGTTATCATCGCAACTTTGCTTTTCATCTCGGCAGCCGGAGCAATTCGGAACCTGGTTGGCCTTCCAGAGGAGAGGTCTAGTAGATTACATCATTTACTGAAAGGTACATGCAGATATCATCCTGTTCTTAATGAAAAATCTGGTTATTTAACTTGATCTTAAGATCTGTAGTACAGGATAATGTCTTTTACGAAGAAAATTACTCCTGTTATTGTTTTGCAGACCGAGTATTTATAGAAATACCTTTTGAAAGACTCAGAAATTAGATATTTTTTGCATATATGAAATTATTTTGTTTTTATTCTCACGATTATCTACATACCGGTATTCTTGCAATCACAATTCTTTCCTTTATTACTATACACCTGTATCTGTATTTGTACAGAGCTCAATTAGGTTTCACAAACGGCCTTACAGGCTTAATATTGCCTTGCATTACTCAGTATAACTTACAGCGTCTACGCTTTTGTCCGGTTGTTCAATTACCGGCTTTCCTATTTAGAAGTTAATTTAGTAAAACTGAAGTATGGACCAAGGTGTTTAACAGTACAGCTCAAACTCAAGGCTTATTTACTTTGGATGCATTCATCTTCTACCAGGCGACTGATATATTTTTATCGTGCAGGCAGCTTTATCGCTCCGTCCCGGTACTGAAGTTACAGCTGTATTCGTGGAGGTTGAGTAATATTAAATGCTTATAGGAAAAATGAAGTGGCCAAGCTTGGAGACTTGAAATAAATGAGTTGACCAAAACGTTACTCGATCATACAATGTATAATTTTTTCCGCAATCTGAATTGGTCTCGCATCATTGTAAGATTATTTCATATATCCATTAATCTTATCTTTGCTGAGTTTGAGCACGACATGGGAGCGATCAATCGTTAATTCGTTTTCTCAGACGCATTCAAGAATTTAAAATTGAATGACCAGGACAACGACAGCAAAGTTGTTGACGAACAACTTTGTGGGAATTAAACATTTTTTCCGCATTGGAGACTTTAAAATAGTTCTTTGTGGCGTCGGGTCGGAACAATAGGTTGAAAAATGGTTATTGAAATCGATTTGCATTATGACGGCACTTGAGTATCTATAAGCATTTCTAGTTGATTACAATATAAAGCTATATCTTTATATTATCATATACATATCTTTTTTTATCATGTCATCTTGATCAAGTTTCATCTTGTGTTTTATTTGTATTTTAGCATTTCAGTGGTTTAACTTTTTACTGCTATCATTTACAGATTTTAGAATTGACACCCAAATAAAGGTTATCCTTTCCTTCATTCCTTCCTTCAGTCATGTTCAAAATTCTCATAATTATATAGGAAAATTCATTACCTGACGAGTGAATTCTTCTCCATACTGCAAATTCTGTACGATTCCTTTGACTGTTAATTCAAAAATATAGATGTTTGGCAGAAAGCCTCAGAGCTGTGTTAGAATGCTATTGTTTTTAACTCGCGCAAGACAACCAGTGAGGTCCTGAAATTCATTTTACGATAACCGCAGAAATTCTCGCGCGCTCACTGGCTAATTTTCATTGTCAATAAATGGATAGACACATGAATTTATAATTTATGCGCTTCGTCAACGAGAGAGGGCGGTCAGTTTGTTAATTAGCGCATACAATAAAAGTGACTTAGCGCCGTGTTGAATTGTTGAATTTCGGTTCAATAGTTTAGTTTCAAAAGTTGTTTATATTTGTCGAACTTTTACGTGAAAGGTTTTTAAATGTCCGTGGCATTTGTGGAAAAGGCTGTCACCCGGAACTTATTAAGCAAGCTACCACCATTTCTTCTCTTCTTCTTTTCGTGGCATTGTATCCTACGTATAGCATTATAAACTTAACAAATCGAATGTGGTTTAGCTTAGTCTGTACTCTTATTGACAATGATAAGCGTCATCACAGTGGTCAAAATTTGTTGTGGACTCACTCGGCGCCTCGTGAGTCCAAACAAATTTTGACCGCTGGGATGACGCGTATCGTTGTCGATAAGAGTACAGACCACGTTAAACCACATTCGATTTGTTAAGTTGATATCAGCGTCAAAGAAAGAGGTTTTTTTTTCAGAGCGTGAGCTGAAAAAGGCATTGCGCGACACATTGACGCGTGCAGCGTTGTCTGGACTCTTATCGACAACGGCAAATTAGCCAATCACATTGCAATTGAGATTAGTAGCAATTGTAGCAAAACATTAAATTGTGTTTTAATTTTGTTTTTATAATCCATCAAATGTTTTTACTCGCACGTGATTGGTGTAAACACATCAAGTGACTGAATATGCCCCAGCTAAACAGGCTGGGGAATGTTCGCGTGATACTCCCCAATTTTTAAAACTGCGCGTGTTGCGAAAATATTTGAAGCTCATTATCTGTTCGCTTCTCGGAACAGATAATGTCCGTGGACAAATATCTGAGCATATTCTCGCGCCAAATGGAGGCTATTGTTTATATGATATCATATAATTCTTATCGCAACAAATTGGAATTTACATGTCTGCGTCGAGGAGCATTGCGATACGAGAGGAATACGGTGATAAATCAGGGTCGGATTTAGGGGAGGGGGCTGGTGTATTGGATGGCTAGCCACCCTCCCCCACTTCCTCTTTGGAGAAGCTAAGCAAAAACTTGAAATCGATTGTGAATGTTATAGCAGGAATGAAAGCAAACACTCTAGACAGGTATCTCAATGTATTTCTACTTGGCTTTTTGGTATTGTTAGTATTTTAGTCTGGTGTAGGAGTTTTCAATTAGGTTCCAGTTCTCAAATTGAAACGTTTTTGAGACATACCCCGTTGATTCTACTTGCAACCCCAGGGAATCAGCCTTCCCCCCTGAAACATCCTGGATCGATCCGTGTTAATGTATTGCAAAATTAAAGTTAAACCATGAGGTCTGCGAATATCCTTATCAATATAAGCTTATAGTATCAAGCTAATAATTACACACTGTCCCTAAGTGGGGAAAATCTGCCAGCTAGTTTATTATAAAGTCATGGAAATATTGTTCGCTACCGTTTGTTTAGTCTCATACTTTTTTATTCGCAGATGGACCCATTGATGCAAAGAAACTCTCGAATCCATACAACTCAAAGACAATAGATGCACTTGCTGATCTTTTTGAAAAATATCCTCTGAATGACGACTCGGCTTCAGACGAGAGTGGCTCGGGTTCAGGCGTGGGTGGCTCGGGTTCAAGCGAGAGTGGTTCGGGTTCAAGCGAGAGTGGCTCGGGTTCAAGCGAGAGCGCTTCGGGTTCAAGCGAGAGTGGCTCGGGTTCAAGCGAGAGCGCTTCGGGTTCAAGCGAGAGTGGCTCGGGTTCAAGCGAGAGCGGTTCGGGTTTTGTCGAGGGTAGTTCGGGTTTTGTCGAGAGTGGTTCCGGAATGGAACCCGACACCTTGAAAGCATTGGTTAAATCGGTAGGTCACAGAGTCTTCTGTAGTAAAACTCTTTTAACAAACTGCTTTGTTTCATTGTTGGAGTGAAGGGGTGTCAGGAAAAATTAACCCGCAGCAACCCTTACGATTGGCTTTGGTTTGAAATGTGAAATTACATGTGAAATTACAAATATTACCATGGCAAGTTTGGGCCCGAAACTTCTCGATACAATAAGCAATTCAAAACTCCACGATTGTAGGTGCAAATTGTCACCCACGATATTAATATGTAATCAAATGGTATACTCGTGAAATTAAGAAATAATTTCACGCACGTTTTGCCAAAATTCCAATAAATTCCCTCGCCTTTAATTTGTGACGTTTTATTTGGAATCAACTTTACAAAGTTGCCTCTTCCTTCTATTTCAGTTACTGAAAATCGGACCAGCTTTGGAAGAACTGAAAGAGAAAAGAGACGAAAGAATTGCAAGTAAGCTGGGTTCGATTTACGACAATTTCCTGACAGTAGGCCAATGATGGCCAGAAACCTATTGACAAATGTTTCACACTGTGGTCAAATAAGCATATTTTCTCTTTGGCAGACATGTTTGTGCTTTGAAACTTTCAGAAACTGGTTCAGAGTTCATAGCAGCATTGAAAGAATACAAAGATGACGACGAAATTTTGCAATTGTTGGGACGCCATGTCATTGAAGAGCACAAAGAATGCGATGACGTCAAACATAAATTTGCCGACTACGTTCATAAATCAGGTAATTACCCACCAAGAAGCCAAAAATGGATCAATTAAGCAATCAATCAATCAAATATATTTAACGTGGCCGGTACGCTTAGCTAAAAAGCTAGTTTACAAGTTCGCCACGAAAAAAAAAAACAGAAAAAATAAATAATTTCTTTTCTCCATTGTTCGGTTAAACTAAGAAGCGCTGATTCGCAGCCGTGATATTTCCTATAAACAAACACATATTTGTGATAAATTTCTTCAAAATACGGGCTTATTCGGAAATGAACAATTTTTTCGAAAACCTTCGAGAAAGCTGGTAGAATCGTTATCTGTCGATTGTTAATTCTGCGTATTCCGGATTTCAGGTGATCAACGGAGTAAACGACTCAAAGTGACGTCTACCTGACCAAAGATTATACAATTTTTAAGGCATTTTGGAGCTTAGGGCGACCTTTTGGGGACTTAGAACAGTTCGAAATGAAATGACAGCAGATGACTTTAGACCGTTATGAAGGATATATAAGGGTTTGGATGTTGTTTTACTCAACTGTTAGCTGCATTAGACTGAAATTACTGCCGTAGCTGGACTGAAATGTTAGCTGATAGCCGAGAAATCACCGAAAAATTAACTCATAATTGAGATTCCAGCACCTTCGTCCAGACCCTCATATTGTACAAAAGCAACTCCACTTATACTTGCAAACATAGGCCCTGGGTATCTAAAAATAAAACGAAGTGTTCTGTGCGAACAAAAGTAAATCAACAAGTAAAGGGCTAACCTTAAAACCTGTAACCTGAATACATTTTCGTTATCAGACAGTTATGCTTATATTCAGGGTCGCCAAATAGGTTATCTTAGGTAAAAAGGAGCCAGTCATTTAGGGTATAAAATTCTCTACTAACTCGCTTGTCTTCGCCCGCAGGGTCTTGTGGCAAGTTTGCCAACTCCTCATCAGTAGGTCATCTTAGTAATAGCGGGTAATCATAAAATATCAAGTTCATGGGAACGCGTTTTCGCCACTTTAGCCAATTTGTATTTCTTCCAGTTTTGTATGAATTGCTAGAAGGGCAAGACACCTTAAACTTCCAACAGGATTTGGCATACGTTTTGGAAGCCGCCAAAATGTCCCCTGAATTTGGTAAGAGACTCAACCATTCATATGAACTAGTATGTTGGTAATATTTGGTTATCTTCTCTCACAAAGCACTGCTTGCATAGATGTTGGCCCTCAAGCTTATACTTTGTAAAAATTTCCCTGTCGTTGGCGCAACGGCTTCTTCGCTGTTTCACGGCGTGCTTCGCGCAATGCTTATTTATATCAATATGTTGCGAGATATGTTTGTATGAGGGTACATGTATCAAGTCAATTCATTATTTACACTATACAGGACATTTAGGTACATTTTAGAGGTAAAGTAATGAAAATAGTGAAAAAAAAGTTAAGAAATATAAAGCCGTAAGGAAATAAAATTTATATGTGAACGGTGGCCAAAGTAGTAAGACCTTTCTGTTTGGCCACCGCCATAGTCAAGCACTAAAATGCCTCATCCCCGAAAATGTTTGTCACTTGTTCTCGTTAGACGCTTTCGAGGCATTTTCCTACATGACGGCATTGTATGGACTTCAAGACCATCCTGGGATAAAGGCGATCATGGTGATTGGCGGCCTGGTCGCTGAAGCTGCCTGCGATGAAAAACTGGATGGTTTGTACTAAAGCTCGTGATTCTTAACTCCCTAGGGACTGAGGAAGACCACATATGAGTTTATCCATTTTAAGATCAATTTTTATAACCTCAGTCCAGTTTACGATAAGGCGATTTCCTCTAAGCTAGAAGCCATTCAACCCCAAGTACTTCCCCACTGCTATTCAATCATTTCGTCTAAGCTGAGCCCAAAAACAGACTAAGTCCTGAAAGGTAAAGGTAAAGTCTGCATACGAGCCAAGTGGCCCATCAGCTCAGGCCGGCACTTATCTCCGGTTTCTGTAGCATTGAGCGACTAGGAGATTTCTGCTCCCTTCTGGATGGCATGCTAGTCCATCGAAGGGTTACCCCCAGCTTTAAGTTCGCGGGTACCCATTTATACAAAGTACACCTGGGTGAAGAGAAGTCCTGTGAGAGTAACGTGTCTTGCCCAAGTACACTAAACACTTAATGACTGGCCCCAAAGGAAACAGTGAGTTTTGTTTCCCCGAGACCCTCAATGTTGAGGGAGCANTAAGAAATCGTTTGCTTGCAATTGACGAGGGCTGGCTCACAAATTTGCTGCGGTTTCAAGGAGCACGTCCTGATCACGTGCGAGTCGAAATTTGTTGTTTCCCTAGGGAGTTAGTGAGTTTTGACCCACGACACGTGGCACGTTCTCCTCCAATCGGAAAATGTACCTGAGTCGAGAGGTATAGCAAAACATAATGTTCCCTGCCAGGGCTCGAACCCGGACCGCTCGATCCCGCGGAGACGAGCGCACTAACCATGAGGCCACCGCGCCTCCCTGAAGAGCATGATGGTGTTATTTAAAATTAACATTACATATTGGCACTACATTACCGAACAAAAAGTAAGAAGACTGAAAATTACACCTGCGCTTCGCATACAGCAATGATACAGTCTCTCTCTAACTTCTGTTCAGGTCTGTTTAATAAGTTTGGCGAGCTAATAAAGGAGCATGGACCACATGGTGACATTGATTTTGCGAGCAGAATAAATCTGGATCTTTACATGGACAACAGCAAAGTTTGCAAACGAGGTAAGTTAATTTTAAAACTCTTTAGGGTTAGGGTTAACCCGAACAACTCACGGAAAATTCGAGTTCTGAAGTATTTATACTATTTAAAAGAATTAACTGATCACATTTGAGGAAACTAGCCCCGCTAGAAAAGCTGCAATTAAGGTGATTAGTTACCAATTCCATGCTTTCTGGTTTAACGTTTAACACCACTTCATGTATGTTGGTTTACCATACCAGGTTTAGTCAAACGCATCGAACCACCGCAAGTCAACATCAAAGATAGAGTACTTGATCTGATGTTTAAGGGATACCAGCCTCACTGCGATGAAGGTATGTATCTCAAGCCAAGATTAACGATAAAATAACTTAGATGGTGCCCACTTTACTGCCTTCCCAGAACTCCTAAAGCGACTCTGTTTATGCGTGAGAGAAAAGGCAGGATATTTTGTCCTTGTGGATGCAATGTAGCCTGCTGGTGCGTTTGAAATTTGAATTGACCAATCAGGATTTAGTAGGCGGGAACAACAGTACTGTCCTGACGTCACCTGTAGAGACGGCGTAACATATTTACGAAAGGAACAAACCATCACAGATTGTTACAAAAGTTAGCCTGCGAAAACAATCGTCCTTCTTAACTCCCGGCCCGAGTGGCCACTCGGGCAGAGAGCGATCGAAGAAGGACGGCTGTTTTCGCAGGTTATACAAAAGTCAAATGTGACACATTTTGTGCCTCCAAGCGGCAAATTTGGCCCCAAAACAGGGTCGCCAGCGTTCGGCGATTATTCTCTCACAAAGGGTCGCCAGATCTTTTGTTCTTCATTGAATCATACCGTCAGAATGAATGGTCGAGTAAAGTACTAGAGGAGGTCAAAACAACTTAAGCGTTTCCTTTATTTTTGTTGCCTGCGAAGGAAAACACATTTATCCTTTGGACAGTACGGTTTTGAGTGCTGCTCCTATTACGGGAGCCGCTGTACATGTGCATGCACGTACATTGTATGCAAGAAAACGTTAACGTTTACTTTTTCCTCGAAAGTGAAGGAAATAGGAGACTTCTAGAATACGCACAACACACTAAATTGTCGACAAAAGTGTTTAGACAATTCTCGTCAGTGAAGGACCGGGTGCGCACCGTTCTCCATGTGGTGGAAGCGTTTTTGCTTAATGGCGTTATTGAAAATACACTGCAGCTGTTTGAGTAAAGTTGATTTTAGAAGAAAAGAGTAAAAGCATGCGACACAATGTCGAAAGATATTATGGGTAACGGTAGTTCACCGTTGGTAGATCGAAGTTCTTGAATTGCAATCATGAATTGTGAGAAATGAGGTATCAAGAATTAATTTGAGTTGTTGCTGTTAATTTTTCAGTGAAGATTATTCGGTTTGCTGTGGAAACAGTCTTACATGTAAGTACTTATCTTCGTCTTAATCTATTGATATATTTTTGACAACTGAAAAAGATTTTCGTGCAAAGCGCTTTTCTCATAACGGTTTCAATCTAAAGGTAAAGTTCAATAGTTTTATATTTTATATTTACGTTAATTTTAATCAGCCCGCTTTAGCCAGCCAGTAAATAAACAAATTGTTTTTCCAATAGCTTCAGTGATTCACAGCCAATTAAATAACATTTTTTGCAGAGTATCGAGGTTTCCCGTAAGTTTGCATGGTTACATGCGATTTCCAAGGGACACGAACACGGTATGTACTCATTAAATGTATACAGAAGCATATCACATAGTTCTAGGTGATATGCTTCTGATGTATATCAGGAGTGAAATTATACAACACGCAGTCTTCAGTGACTCGTAACGTTTAAATCGGTAAAAAATCACCTTAAGTGAGATTTTAACCAAGTTTTGAATTTAGTACATGATACTCAGTATTGCAACGAATCCAATCAACAGTAAGATTTTTAGGACATGAAGTAATAGCAGTAAAAGTAGACTTTTTATCCTTATTTACGTTAAATAACAACTAATATATTTCATCACGGATACAACACTGGCATGATTCAAATTTCTTCTTCTAAAATTTCTATGTCATTGGAGGTTCCTTAGCGTAATAGTCACAAGAGTCACAAGTTTGTTCCTTCCCTATTCTGTCCCTAGTAATCCCTTCTAACAATAGTGCTACCGTTTTATTTTATTTTCCTCAGTGGTGATCAGCCACGTTAAATATTTCCTGGAACATGGCCACGAGGACGTGGCACACAAAATTGTGGGCGAGTATGTGCTTGCTAACGTGAGGGGAGCCATGACAGTCGGTCTAGCTGTTGAGAAACGCTTCAAGCCATGACAACAACAAATACAGTAAGTCAGGTTCCCCTGGTGACTTCTCCTTCGTGCAAGTTTTCTGTCAGTTTACTGTCGTGTCGGTTTAAGCTGATTCAGTTGTTTTTTGTTTTTTTCTTTGTTTTTAACATTTCATCGCTACGGCTATGATAAGGCGGTTCATTCAATATATTTGAGAGGATTGTTGAAGATGATTTTTACAGTTTAATTTTAAGTTCGATGCTGCCACTATGTTTATTTTCAATTTCGGGTGGTAGAAATCGATCATGGCCTAATATGCTACGCGCGACAAGTTCACTTAATTTCAAATGGTTACGCAACGTTCGCAACAAGACAGATATTCCGTAAGAAGAAAGCGTTACTGGTAACTGAAGTTTAGCTTTGAAATAAAACATTTGATTAAAAACATAATGGCACTTCGTTCTTGTGTTTGTATTTTCCAGGTTTTAACTGCGGTACCAAGACCACAGACACCATAACCATAGAAACCTTTTAGGAGTAGCTGTCATCGTGTCTATTGGTTGATTATTATTAGCACACTTTCACTTTATATTTTCACTAATGAAGTAGCAATTTACTTGATTATAATTCCAAATAGAATTAAAAAAAAGAAAACATCTTTGTTTTGTTTGTTTTATATGAAAGAACTTTGAAGTCTTTAACCAGGAACAAACTTGAGAAGGAAAATGATTTATGAATAAATAAATAAATAAATAAATAATTAAATAAATAAATAATAAAAATATCCTCTATTCACCCTCCAACAGTGTTTATAGTTGAAGACTTGTTGGGCCACCTTAAAGCGGTTGGATGTACAACAACTGCAAAAGATAATAATATTACTTGTGATACTCAGTGATAAATCTTTTTAAGAGAGAATGACCAGTAAGAGAGTTAATCGACCCAGTTGGCTCTCAAGAACTCGTAAATTTTGTTAATTTGGAGAAAGCGTCTTACAGGCGCTCAGTTAGTTGCGGCGCTGCGCAGCCGAAACGCCGCGCGAAAAAAAGGACAGAGAGGCCTGGTGCGAGGAGCTGCGCATCAACTAACTGAACGCCTGGAAAAGACTACTTACCTGATAACCATCGGAAATTTTTCGGAGACAAGGATTTCACAAACATGGTAGGTAGCTGTTTCCTCATGATGCTCTCAAAAGTTACAAAAATTGACATATAGGGAATTGTATGGGCCGCATTCTCTGAATACAAATGTGGCAAGGGACCGCAAACGAAAATTCTGCTGGTATACATAGGATCTGTAAAAGGTCTGATCAACCAACAATAGAAATAGAATAACAATGCAGCAAGGCTGATCACTACATGTTCAGTTTTAACATGAACGGGTACAGTTCTCTTTTCCTCCTATATTACCATGGCAACGCACAAAAAAAAACAATTACATAACTCAATCAAACTTTACTGAGGCATTGACATACCAAGGGCTTTAGATTAAATTGCTTAATCAATTGATAAAAGGTCTTCGAATCTCATCCTATCTCTAGTATCTGAGCAATAAAATTACGCTACTCGAAGTGCGTCTTTACAACACCTGAGTCCAAAATCTTTCAGAATAAATGTAGGAAAATTTTAGCCAACTATTATTGAATGTTATTGTTATTAGAATGACATTCCTTTATCTAAACGTTATAAGCCAGCTACAAAACTATTTAAAAGAGCACTTTACCAGTTTTATTTTTCTCAGTAGCAATAAGTCTAACATAATTTGTTTATTTACTGTATGTTTACGTTTTCCTCTATACTAGTTTTTCTTTTTACCCTAAAATAAATGTATTTAATTAAAGGGCACCTAATTAGTCTACTATATTTGTCTTTCCACTATCTTTTCACTGCACTCACGTGCAATTTTTAACAATGCTGTGTTCATATCGTCAAGTAGTGAAATAAATAACACAAATACAACACAAATTTTAAAATCAATTGCACGCTAGCGAAATGAAATGTATCTTGCCTTAAACAATGAGTCAGCAAGGTGACCCTCTTGCTGCGATGTCACGAAATCTTTTCTCTTCAGCGTCTGACCACAAAAGCAACTTTTTTCCTGTTTGTAGTGAATTTGCATTTAAAACAAGCAGTTCAATATCTGTAACAATGCCTTTAATTTGAAGCTAATCACAGGTGTCCTAAATAGGTTACTGCTGGGATAGGTTATTTCTTTCTCAAATCAATTTTGATCGTTGCTAATAGTTTTAACGGTATAATGGAGTCGAATTGTACTGAAATGTATTGAAAACTATGAAGTATTTTCCGAGAAAATTTACGCAAATACTCGAATTAAAGTGAAACTCATACAGCGTGACAAATCTAAGTTTTTTCCGCTTTGCTGTGTGTTTGCAACCCAAATAGAATAATTTTACGCACGAGACAATGTCAAATGAATTGGAACAAACTGGAATATCGAAATGTATATTCTCCTCTCGGTTAGCCATACGTTAATTTTGAAAAACGTTTTGAGAACCTGGTTACATCAAGACAATGACCACAGAATTGATGACTTTCTGTCTTCTCAATAGTTGATCGCTTGGCATAGTATTAATCGTATAATGAGAAATCATGCGTTGATAACATTCGTGAATTAAATTAGACTCGGCTGAATAAATAGCACACGTTAAACCCAGTTTTCGAACCGGCAGGCGATCTGATCGAGAGGCGCTCTCCACAATCGCATCTCGTCTTGGACAGGCAAAGAAAATGAAGGTTATCATTGCAACTTTGCTTTTCATCTCGGCAGCTGAAGCAATTCGGAACCTGGTTGGCCTTCCAGAGGAGAGGTCTAGTAGATTGCATCAATTATTGAAAGGTAAATATCACTTTGTTTACTTTCGATAACTCTGGATATTTAACCGAACTGAAGAGATCCGGCGGTCTACAATAATTGTCTTCTACGAAGTTACTTAGTTATTTACATGGTAAGGACTGGCTTCTAGAAATGAGTTTAAGTGTTGATCGTAAAAAATAATACTGATAAAATTGTTATCATTATAGCTTTTATTACGGTACTCTAAATTAAGCCCTGAGTTCAATAAAATTTCGACAACAGTCCTTTACAAGGCTCCGTTACCAGTATATTGTTTTGCGCTTTCGTCTGCTTCTATCAAGTGCGTGATAACATGCCAGCATTCCCGTTTTTAAGTTAATTCGGTAAAATTAAATTGAGAAGCGAACATGGATGTTTCGGATCACAACTCAAACTCGCTTAATTAATAACTGAGGTTACATGCAAGCAACTCTAGTACCTGAAGGGTAATATGTAATCGCTCAACCACTTACTGAAAGTGATAAATACGGCCAAAAATATTTATTTTAAGTGATTAAACTTAATTCAGAAGGCTAAAAATGAGTTCATCAAAAAGTAGTATTCGACGGAATTTTTTTCAGCCTTTAATTGCGCAACTGCAAAGCAAAAACAGTGCTTTTAAGATCTTTTAAGAATTTTCCAGCACTTTTAAAGGTTCAAGTCGGTTTTTTTGTACAAATATCCAACTACGTGCATAAAGAAACAAGAGAAAAAACTTTCCGGTCATATGCACTTCAAGTTATGTATATAGCTGCGATGATTAATCATGTCTTTATATCTTTCTCCGCCATTCAAATATATGGTCTCTCGTCTATTCACTTGAAATGAATGCATATTGTGAAGTATATATGAAATAATTCATATTTGAACTGCGGTAGTAGATGAAAGTGAAGTATGATCATCGCAGTAAATTTTCCAATTTAAGCAACTGGAAATAAGAAGCCTGAAAAAAATCAGGTTTTCAACGGGATTCGAACCCGTGACCTCCGCAATACCGGTGCGATGCTCTACCAACTGAGCTATGAAGCCACACATTGGGAGCGAGGTCAATTTATTG